CTCCTCAGCCTCCTTTTCTGTACTCAGAGCCCTTATCTCTACTGTTGGCTCTTACCTATTCCTCAGCCTCTAACCTATACTTAGGAAATCTACAGGGCTGGGTTTATATTGTGTTAACATGACTAAAAAAAAACTGCTGATTTTAGGATATTTTTGATTGCCAAAGTGTGTGTGCTTGCCAGAGAGAGAGAGAGAGAGCATCCTTCAGTGGGGAGTGGTAATGTCACAACCCCCTTTTCTCCATCCTGTCAGGCATTTGGGCATGCACACACAGCTGGTGTGTTTTTCAAGCTACTGAGACTGGGATTCGAACTGCGATCAACCATGTGGGATCTGGCTTCCCACGCACAGGGCTTAATCTGCGGCACTATGGGGGCAGCCTGATTTAATGATTTTCAAAGACAATAATTTATTCTTATATACAGTATTACCACACTGTTTCTAAACTAGGAGTCCTAATAAAATGTTGAGGGGTGATTTAAAAAAAAAAAAATAGAGAAACAGTGGGTGACGACTAGCCTGTGACACTCTAGGTTCATCTAAGTACACTCTGTGATGTTTGCACACTGACCAAATTGCGTAAGGACGCCTTTATAGGAACGTATCCCTCCCATTAAATGACATGTAATTGTATTTAAGAAGTAAAGAGGGGCCAGCAGGTAGCGTGGAGATTAAGGCAGCTGGATCCATAAGGCCAACTATGCAGTTTGATTCGTGGACCCAGCAGCTTAAAAAACACACCCAGTGGGCCTTCGAGCCACTCTTCTCTATCTGCTCAGGCCCCCTCCACCTCTCAGGAGTATACTTTGGCTTTTACTTAATAAACTACCTTCTCCTTAAAAAAAAGAAAAAAAGAAAAAGAAAAAGAAAAAAAAAAAAAAAAAGAACCACACCGAGGATGTGTCCATGTGTGCCCAAAATCTCCAGAGGAGAATGGAGGACAAGGTGTTGTAGTGTGCGGCCATTCCCCCGGGGGTTCATTTCTTATCCTACCCCTCCTCCCAACAAATAAATGTGTTAGATAGCTAAGCTTTTCTTTTTTAAAAAAGAATTATTTATGGAGGCCTGCTGGTGGCATGGTGGTTGAGGCCCGGGTCTCTCACGTGGCTGACCGCGGTTCAAGTCCCGAACCTGACAGCGTGCTTTCTCACTCTCCCTTTCTCTCTGTCTCTCTCTGGTCAAAATGAAAGAATAATAATAATAAAAATTAAACATAAATGAACTTTTTAAAAAAGAATTATTTATTTATTTAATTCCAGTTGCCACTATTCTTTTTTAATTTGACCAGAGAGAGACATACACAGAGAGAAAAGAAAAGCGAGAAAGCAAGCTGCCAGATTCGGGACTTGAACCATGGTTGGCCACGTAGAAATCCAGCGCCCCCAACCCCCTTACCAACTGCCAGCCCAAAACTTAATTTTTTTTTTTTAGAGATTTTTGCTATAGGGTATGCACACTTGACAAAAACACAGAGAGACAGAAAGTGAGAAGTTACCCCTCAGTGGGAATGGCCACGCCACAATCCCTTCTCCATTCTCCTCTCGAGATTTTGGGCATGCACTCATACACACCTGGTGTGAATTTCAAGCTGCCGAGTCCAGGACTTGAATAGCAACTGGCTATGTGGGAGCCCAGTGCCTTAACCACGATCCCACCTGATGACCCCGTATAGTAAAGCTTTTTTTTTTATAGAAAAAAAAAGGAAGACAAAAAGAAAATAAATGAAGCGCTTTAGTTTTGAAAATGTCCTTCTGGGAAGAATCTCATGTAGAACAGAGGTTTGGTTCTCAGAAACTGAAATTAGGGCTCAGTCATCCTGGCCAGATGTTCCTTATTAGGTCCATGTGCTGAGTAGATGGGTAATAGGTTAGGGGGATGGGTATTTTTTTTTTCTTTTCTTTTTTTTTTTTGGAGAGGTTTTCGCTGTAGGACACGTGCACTCGCCAGACAGACAGAGAGAGACAGAGACAGAAAGCGAGAAATCACCCCCCAGGGGTGATGGTCACACCGCAATCCCTTCTCCTCCATTCTCCTCTCGGGATCTTGGGCATGCACGCACACGCGCCCGGCGTGAGTTCTAAGCCACTGGGTCCGGGACACAAACCGCGGTCAACTACGTGGGAGTCCAGCGACATAGCCATTACGCTAACTGCTGGTCCCCGGGGGATGAGTATTTTACAGCAAAGTAGCAAAGATCAATAGGACGGAAAAGATTTGGTCGGCTCCAATATTGTATAAAAGAAATTTCTAGTTATCATTTCAACCACGTAGTCAGATGCTATAGACCAAGGTCCAGGACGATACTTTTACCCTTTTATAGAACTTCCCCATGTTTTCTCCTAAGTCTTGTCTCTCGTGATGATAGATACTGAAATCTTAAAATGAAGAGGGTCTGTGAACTTGTTTTTGGAATAATAGGAAGAGTGGACAGAAAAGCCCATCTTCCCTGGGCTGATCTTGGAAGGAAGAGAAACCCACCGTTCTGGATGGGTGGTGATGACTCCAGAGAGGAGGAGGTCGGGGGAGCCCCTAGGAGCCACCTGAGTGGAAGGAGCCTGCCTGGGCCTGCGAACTGCCTGGGGACTCAGGAGAAGGGGTTTCTAAATGCAGTGGTTGATGAGCGCTGCACACTAATAGGATTAAATTTAAAACTGTTACAGGTGAGATGTGACTAGTCCATTCTTGTGTCGCAGAGCTAGGCTTTTCCTTTGTTCAACAGGTATTATTTTATTTCATTGTTAGTAAAGAAGCACACAGAAACACTCTGGTTTATCCTCTTACCTTATGCAGATCTGAAAATAACACTGAAAACGCTCATTGTATGGGGATCTTAAAAGGACACTGAAAACTTCAAATGAGGGAGGATTATTATTATTTTAGGTTTTTGCCATAGGGTGTGTGTGCTCGTCAGAGAGAGACAGAGAGAAGTGAAAAATCACCCCCCAAGGGGGGAATGACCATGCCACAAGCATGCACACATGCGTGCTTGGTGTGATCTTCAAGCCACCGGGTCCAGCACTCAAACCGTGGTTGACCTAGTGGAATCCCAGTGCCTTAACCACCACGCCACCTGCTGGCCTCACGAGGGAAGATTATTGTATTTACTCCCATATCTTTCCCCTTTTCCTCTTTGTTTCTAACAGCTTTCTACTTTCACCTCAGTTTTGCCCAGTCTTTCCCAGAGAAGTCATCTATGAGCATGTCTGTACCTACTGTAGGCAGCTTGTAGAATCAATAAAGCATAAGATTCCAGCTTTGGGGACCAGCAGAAGGCATAATGGTTATTTCTCTGGACTCCCACATAGTTGACTGTGGTTTGAGTCCCAGACCCTGTGGCTTAAAACTCATACTGGGCACATGTGCATGCATTCCCAAAATCTTGAGAAGAGAATGGAAGAGAAGGGATTGTGGCATGGCCATCCCTCTGGGGGGTGATTTCTTGCTTTCTGTCTCTGTGTCTCTCTCTGGCTCTCTGGCGAGCGCATGTGCCCTATAGAAAAAAAAATCTAAAAAAAAAAAAAAATTTCCAGTTTTGCTCAGGAAGAGCTTGCAATCTCATCAGGACATTTAAAAAATGATATTTAGAAATGAACACTCATGCTCGAGAGCGTGTTTAATGTTAAGTCAGATGACTCTATAATAATGATTTCAAGATTCGACTGCTAGGGAACCAGCAGTTAGCGTAATGGCTATGTCGCTGAACTCCCACGTAGTCGACTGCGGTTTGTGTCCCGGACCTAGTGGCTTAAAACTCACACCGGGCACGTGTGCGTGCGTGCCCAGGATCCCGAGAGGAGAATGGAGGAGAAGGGATTGCGGCGTGACCATCCCCCATGGGGGGTGATTTCTCGCTTTCTGTCTCTCTGTCTCTCTCTGTCTGTCTGGCGAGCGCACGCACCCTATAGCAAAAAAAAATCTCTCAAAAAAAAAAAAAAGAAATTCAACTGCTCTCTGAGGGTCACTGCAGCCAAGCTTCTGGGAGAAGGTGGGCCTTGGGCGGGTTAGAGCTAAGGGCAGACTAAGAGAGCACTTAGGGCGTGGGCAGGGTGTGAGGTCATACCAGTCTGTGTGGGGTATCCGTGTGGAATAATGAGGCACCTGCTTAGCTGGACAAGAAGACCAGACAGCAGTCAGCCAGTGCCATTTCTGCATCAGTGAAGGTCTAAAGTAGGATTTTCCCAGATTCACAGAACCCCATGTATTGCACATTTAGCCATCAAAGCATTAGACGGATGTGCCAAGTGTTCTGGCTCAGGCCACCTGCCGGCTGAGTGGAGTGACGGGAGGGGCATCCTTTCAGCACAGGCGACAGTATCTGAGTTCTGCCCAATCCTCAGAGGACTCTCTGTGCACAGCTGGAGCCAAGATAAGGGCGAACTTTAAAGGGAACATCACTTTCTCTCCCCACAAGCTCAACTCATGTTATTGCTTTCTCTTCCTCTCTCCATTCCCTCCTCTTTTCTCTCTTGCTCACGGCCAGATGTCGAGGAGAAATCCTTTCTCACTGTGAGTTTGGGTTGGAATGACAACCCGTGACATTTGCCTTTTGGGGGAGCATGTGTGCATGTACAGATTCCTAGAGAGTGTGCAAGATGGCCACACTATGGACACTCACCTGGTCTAAGCATCGCAAGTTTGTAGACCAAGCTGTGACGTCTGTTAGCAGTGTGAACTCAGATTGTCACCATGCTGCCTGTTCCTCAGTTTGATTTATTTGCAAAACAGAGATTGTTAACTTCTTGCTACTAAACTCATACAATTTATTCAGGGTCAAATGAAATACTGTCCCTAAGAAAGCACTCTGGAGACTAAAGAACTTTTTACTAGTAGCTCTCAGTGAAGACTGCATGGAGGATGAAGGATGTGATGTTAGGAATTCTCAATCCCATCCAGCCCTGTGATTTTAGAAAATGATTTTATGTCATTAAAATAGGTTTAATTAGATGACTTCCTTTGATGTGTTAATAACTCTCACTCTAATGATACCATTTCCTCCCTAGATGTCCCTGAGCTCCAGTTTCCCTCTGAAAACTCCAGCTCATCTGTCCTGGTCTTCTCATCATCAGTGGGACACCCAGTCACCAAAGCAGCCACTAGAATTGACATGCAGCATCTCCACAGACACTCAGCTCCCATTGTTACCTGTCCAGGGTCCAGAGCTGAAGCTGATTTAGAAATATGAATAGACTTATATAGAAATGACGAGATTGCTGGGTGTGTGGTGGAGAGTTGAATTTTACTTGGCTTCCCTATTAGAAACTCTTTCCAGACCAGCTGGTGAGATAGTGGTTAAGGCAACTGAATCCCACATGACCAACTGTGTGGTTTGAGTCCTGGACCAGCCAACTTGAAAAACATGTCAGATGAATGTGCGTGTGTGCCCAAAATCCTCAGAGGAGAATGGAAGAGAAGGGATTGCAGTGTGGCTGTACCTCCCTGGAGGGGGCTTCCTCACTTTCCTTCTCACTTCCTTCTCACTTTCTCTCTCTCTCTCTCTCTTTCTCTCTCTCTCTCTCTTTAGCAAGTGCACATGCCCTATAGAAAATTTACAAAATAAAATAATAAAAAAGAAACTCTTTCCATTTAAATCCGTTATTGTAAAAGTGAGCCCTACAGTATTTCAGTAAAATAAGGTTATGGAAAAAACATTAATGAAATTTATGAACTTAGAAAGGTGATAGTAGATACCATGGGGTTGATTTAGGGACATACAGTGGTACTGTAGGTGACACTGGGCATACATGGCAGGATCCTGGAAGAGAATAGATAACACCCTTCCAAGGTGACTCGGGCAGTTTAGTGAAGAACTATTTACTGTGGCGTCTTAGTTTCTAGAGTTGTACCACAGACCAGGTGGTTTTGACAATAGCAAATGATTTCCTCACAGTTCTGGAGGCTAGAAATCCCAAGTTCAAGGTGCTGGTGTGGTTGGTTTCTTCAGAGGCCTCTCTCTTTGACTGGTAGATGCCATTGTCTCCCAGTGTCTTCACATGGTCTTCCTTCTGGGTGTGTCTGTGTCCCGATCTCTTTCTTAAAATTTTTTTTTATCTAACTTTGTTTATTATTATTATTTTCCAGTTTGATCAGAGAGAGAGAAGGAAAGTGAGAAAGCAAGCCACCAGGTCCAAGACTTGAACCGTGGTTGGCCATGTGGGAGTCCAGCACCTTTAACCACCACGCCACTGGCCGGCCCTCCTAATCTCTTTTTATAAAGACACTGGTCATAATAAATTAGGGCCCATCCTAATAACTCCACTTACCTTAATTACCTCTGTCTTTTCATTTAATTTATTTTATTTTTTTGGAAGTCAAGAGTAAACTGAGTTAATGGCATCTGGAACATCTTTACAGTATTAAAATCACTAGGCACTCTGATTAAAAGTCAACAAAGGTTAACAGATGATAATCAATTTATTCAAATAGCTGACTTAGGCATCTGCAATGGTGACTTCAACTTCAGCTCCTGGTTCAATACTGATGGAAGTGATGTGTTTACCAATCTCAGAAGGACTGTGCAGATCAGTGCATCACTTGGTTCCAGCTCTTAGAACCTTCAGCACAAGGTGTTTTTCTTGTAGTGATTCTCAAAGTCTGGGTAGGCATCAGAACTGGGCCGTTCACCTTGAGCTTCTTTTCCTCTGCACCTCTGATTAAGTCAGCACACACTTTCTCCAGACTTCACATTGCGACTGGCTGGAGTCATTCTAATTTGGTGAATGACCACCTCTGGCTCCAGTGAAAACTGGGTGTTTTTCCAGTATCTTTAAAAAGCCATGACTCCCTCTTAACAAGCTAAATGATGTATAGAGATTGAATGTATAAAATAATAATAATAATAAAGGAAAAGAAAAATTGATCCAGTCAGACTACTAACTCTCAAGCAAAACCAAACAAACCATGACTGTGTCATGGCTTCCTGACCAACTTGTTCCTCGGGGAGAGAGAGCGAACAGCAGTTAAGTCAAGAGCAGGAGGGGCTGACTGACTGGAGCTCCCCAACACCTGGGTCTGTGTCTTCCACAAAAAGCTCAATTACCTCTTTAAAGGCTCCATCTCCAAATACACTTAAATTCTTTTTTGTTTTCCTTTGAAGGTTTTTGCCTTAGGGTGAGTGCACTGCTGGAGAGAGTGAGAGAGAGAGACAGTGAGAGGGAAAGTGAGAAATCACCCCCAGAGGGATGGCCACATACCATGCCTTCTTCATCCTCCTCCTGGGATGTTGGGCATGCACACCTGCGATGTGATTTTCAAACTGCTGGGTCCAGGACTCAAACAGCAGTCAGTCATGTGACAGTCCACTGACGTAATCACTACATCATCTGCTGGCCCCCAAAATACACTTGTATTCTAAGGGATTCAGAGTTAGGGCTCCCGTGTATGAATTCGTGGAGAAATGTAGCCATAATGCGTGCTGTGGGCAGGGTTAAGAGAATCAAGAAGGGATGACGGAGCACCAGGACATGACTGTAGGAACCTTTATCATCCGCTGGGCTAACAGGGAGTGAATGGAGTTCCTGAAACCCAGTGAGAGCTAAAGCCATGGGATAGGGGCCACCCAACAGAATGGATGCCACGTGGTAGAGGAACACAGCCACTCTCAAACCAAAGCCTAGGGTTGGTTCTGTAGCATGGTCACTAAGCACTGTGCATTGGAGCAGATCCTGCATAGCTGACCATTGTTCAAATCCTGGCCTCGGAAGCTTGAGAAACATGCTGGGTTTGTCACCCACGTGTGGGTAAGCATGCCCCAAATCCCAATGGCATAGTGAAGTGTAGGAGAGGAGATTGCAGCATGACCATGCCCCAGTGGGGGATGCTTTCTCTCTCACCCTCTCTCTTTCTTTCTCTCTTGAGTGCACACAACCTCTGGAAACAAAACAAAACAAAACAAAACAAAACAAAACAAAAACAAGGTCTCGCAGTAAAGGAGAGGAACCAACCCCGACTCTTCCCAACTTTCCATACTCTCAATAGTGCTTTCCTTTGGTCCAACCCATCTGGAAATCAGAGCAAAGCAACCTGGAGATGCAGATCTTAGCAGAGCTGATGCGTGTAGCCAGGGGGTCTGAGTAGGGAGGGCTAGGATGAGAGGATGGAGAATAACCAGCACAGTGGAAGAGGATTCCTCCTTTCAAAGAAGGAATTGCCATTGATGTTCAAGCAATGTAAAACAGGCTTTAAAGAGTTACTAAAAAAACAAAAACATTCCACTTCGCTGCTAAAAGATTAGTCATACATTCTAACGGAAACCACCTACTCATGTAACCATTTCAATGTCCTAGAAATTACAATTCATTATTTAGGTAAAGAAGAATGATAGGAAAACAAATATGTTTTCTGGTTACATAATATTGAAGACTTACTTTATTATTCTCTCTCTGTCTCTGTCTCTCTCTCTCTCTCTATATATATATATGGTTTAAATTGGTGACCTAGAAGGACAGCCCAAGCCCAGGACACTGCGGTTTGAATACCCAGATGATGAATGGGGAACAATATGACCAACTTATAGATACTTGTATGTACCACCAGGGTGAAGCTGTGACATTACCCTGCATCAAGCCCCTGTGTTCTTCCCATGGGGAGAGAAGACAGAGATCAGAAAAGTTCCCTTCCTGGGGCCAGCAAGTGGTGTGATGGTTAAGGCCCTGGACACTCCCACATAGACAACCATGGTTTGAGACCTGAACCTGGTGACTTGCTTTCTCACTTTCCTTCTCTCTCTGTGTGTGTCTCTCTCTGGTCAAATGAAAATAACTGAAAGAAAATATAAGTAATTCTGAAAATAAAATCTTTCTTTAAAAAAAGAAAGAAAGAAAAGTTCCCTTCCTGGAGCCAGGGGCAGATGTACCACCTGGGGTGGCCTGCAGCTCCAAGTACTGTCCTCTTTGTTCCCGGCGCACTCTTTGATTATGTCAGGAGCCAGTCATACCATAGGTGGATGTCTGAACGGGCCAGACTGGAGTCAGTCCTCAGTCACACCTGGAATAAGCCAGGATCTGCTGGGGTAAGAACATAGCAAGAGAAAGAAGGGCTCATCCACTCCTGCAGCTATATCTTACCTTAAGCTAAATATAGGTTGTCTATTCCTGTGTAACAAACCATCCTAAACTTACTTGCAATAATAAGATATCAGTTATTTTCCTCCAGAATCTGTAATTTGGCCAGGGATTTGTTGGGAGATCTTGGCCTGGGCTGAGGCCCAGGTCTGTGTCCCCCTCCATGTAGCCTGAGCTTCTCCTAGCATGGGGGTGAGCCAGGTGAGATCTGAGTTACCTTTGATGTCCTAACCTTGGAAGTCTCATAGTATCACTTTTCCCATCCCCAGTTGGCCAGAGACTTGCCCAATTTCAAGCAAAGTGTACTTAGGCGAGAAAGAGGCAAGGTTCTCAGAGAACATATGGAATGGGAAAAATTTTGAGACTGTTTGCAATACACTATCTGCACTTTGTGACCCTTAACCTGTCCATAAGTCAGGACATACTGTATGAAGTAGGTGCATCTCCTATGATAGTATGTATAAGACAATAACTAACAAAGTCACCATAAACTGGTATTGACATTAATTCAGCGAAACTTTACTGGACACCTGCTGTGTTCCAGACTCTCCGTTATGCTCTGGGGATGTAGTTCCTGCTTTTGCCGAGCTTGTTATAGCTGTGAGGGAGACAGAGCAGTCATTGCATTACCGTCCTACTTGCAAGGAGCACATACTTCCAGATTGTGTAGAAGGGATAAATAAGCCATTCCGTGGAGAGTTGCAGTGATGATGTCCAAGCAGACAGCTGGGGTTGAGCACTGAGTAGTAAAGAGATTGGACACACCAAGGAGAACATTCCAGAGAGAGGAATAAGGCAAAGTCAGAGTGACCAATCTGCCCAGGATCGTGGTTGTGACACTAAAAGAGCCACATCCAGGGGCCAGCTAGGCAGTGTGGTGGTCAAAGGGTCTGGATTCCACATGGCAAGCTGCATGGTATGAGCCTGGAACAGTGGCTTGAAAATTACACTGAGCATGCATGCATGTGTGCCCAAAATCCTGAGAGGAGATTGGAGAAGGAATTGTGAAATGGTCATCCCCCTTGGGGCAGAAAAGTGATTTCTCACTTTTCCTCTCTCTCTCTGTGTGTCTCTCATTTTCTGATGAGAGCATATTCACCCTATAGCAAAAAAACAAAAACAAAACAAACAAACAAAAAAACACAACCAGACAAACAAAAACAATAAAACTACGTCCAGGAAATAGTTCAGTCACTGTGAATTGTCCTTGAGACCATAAATAGACAAATAGACTAGACTAGCGGGAACTTAGAGGAGTAGGGGCTGGGTTGTGGCAGGG